GTATATCATTTATAATTTTGATTTGCCCATTTTTGACAGTAATAGCATGTGTTTCTAATCATGATACCAAGGTTGCGACGCATCATTACTTTGAAAAAGTGATCTCGTAGCTAAATCATTTTTACGTTTTGGGTATGAAGTTTTTTTGAAAACTTCAGACAAAGGTGCTATTTCCGTTTTGGGTCCCTGTGGAATTTCCACCACATTTCAAAAATTAGCAAAGCAAATAAGTACACTTCAAAGTGGGTTCTATTTAGACATTTAAGATTACAATTCCATAGGGATAGCTGGTTTCTCAGCTCTGGTGCTTCACGCTCGGAAATGCATTGGAGATCGTTGTAGGTTGTCGGATAGGTATAAAGAACTTTTTACTACGCTTCAGGGGAACTTTTTGAGAAGCTTAAAGAGAGGTTGGCATGGAGTTAGGTTTTGTACAGGTGGTCGACGTCAGCAACTATGTCACCCCTTCATCTCTTTAGGCTACCTGCGAGGGGCGACTGGCAGGCTCAGCGGTTTAGTCTCACGACGTGGTTTGGAGTAATCCTAGCTGCGGTCCATACTATCTTCATCGTTCGGTTATTTGGGATGGTTGAGTAGTTGTCAATCACAGGCAGCCGAGTTGCTTGAGAGCCGATGAAGAAGGAGGTGAGGTTTGGAGAGAGGGGGGGTGCTTTTAGGGATGTCGAGGGTTTATGTTTTTCCTCTTCATGTTTTATTGTGGTGATTCCGTGATGACCTTGAAAAGATTTTTAACGACGTGATTCTCAGCTGGTTTTGTTTGGTTCAAATAATGTTTTTTTGCCCTTCTATCCTTGAAGTTTAGTATAACCAATAATTCTGATTAATCCTGATACATTTGGGTTCCTTAATTCTTAATTTTTTATTTGAACATAGGATTCGTGAAAAAAAAAAAAAAAAATGTTGGGTTTGAACGAAATTTATTTAGGATTCTGAGAGTACGGTTTTTAGGTCTTCTACAAGAGCAAGATTCTTTGCAAAGTTAAAAAACCACAAAAAAAAATAAAAAATTATTTTTTGAGAACCACTGGAAGTGCCGCGGAAAAAAACAAAATTTTCCAAAGTAAATCATTACTAGGCAGAGCATTATATATTTACAAATTGAAATATCCATGTTTTTTATTATCTCTAAAGATCATGCGTATAGTTCTATAAGTTGTGTATCACGACGAACATGTTTGAAGGTTTGACGAACGTGCGAACGTGTTATCTTGTTTTTTAATACGTTCGCCATAACATATTCTCCCATCTGTGGGTAAACTTTTTTTTTTTTAAATGTTATTTTTTTTTTTTTTCTTTCGTTTTTTTTTTTTAACTTGCGTTTGACTAATAATTCGAAGATGTATCCGAGGCAAAAGTTGTTTGTGTTATTATTTTACATAACATATATTTTTTGATAAATATTTTACTGTTAACTTTCAAATTGTTTTATAGAGTCTATAAATGTTGAAAACGACATATAGTCTTATATGCTAAAATTCACTAAAACTGTTTTTTCACAACTTTTAAGTTGGTTTTATTGGAGCTTTGTTTTTCTGAAAGTCAATTGAGAATGACTTATAGTCCTGTAACATGATTTTTGCAAGAATGAGTTTTCCTGCACATCATAAGGATCTCTCGACTGTTTGCCTGATTTTTTATCTTGTCTCTAGGGAAGTGGTCGAAAATATGTTTTTTTTTTTAAATCAGAAATAGAAGTTTCACTTCTACTTTTTCACGAATCCTATGTTTTTTATTGTTCTACGATGTTGGGTTTTGTGGTTTTGTGGTTTTTTTAGGTTTTCACGAATCCTGTGTTTTTTATTGTTCTACGATGTTTTGTTCGATTTTGCATTACCTGTTTGATTGATCCCTTTATGTCGTTATCCTTGATGTTCAACCAATGATGACAATTCAATATTTGTGTTACCAGTTTATCTTTTTTATGTTGTAATCCTAGATGTTCATGCGATAATTTTTTCTGATTAGCATTTTTTCGATTTACGGTCTGAGCGATTTCCTGAACCCTGGGTTCTGAAAATCAGAGTCGAAAGTCTGGTTGGACATCATAATCGTTTTTCTATTGTGTTTGCTTTGGATTTTCAAAGTCATCAAATCGTATATTCGGTCTGAGCGATTTTCCTTTTCCCAATCTCATCTTTATCTCGATGGATTTCATGTTTTTTATGTTAAGAGTTGTTACTTGTAATAAGTCTTAGCGATTTCTCTACTTCCATCTTATTTGTATTGACGGATTTTCTGACTTCAATGCTATTTAGGTTTTACTTAGTAATTAGTCTCATCAAATGGGTCTCAACCTGTGATGTGTCGACGCCTTTGGACTTTCTAGTTTTAGTCTGTTTTTGGGGGTATGAAAATCTTGAGGCTCAACATGAGCTTTGTAGGGCTTGGGCTCACAAGTATTGATCGGGGTTATTTCCTCATGATTGGAGCTCCTCCCTGCGAGGGCTACATAAGGTGGGAGGTATTGTCCTTAAAAGGATGGGGGGGGTATTGTGGGATTGTCCTTTTTTGGGCCGTGGTGATCTTTGGGTCGGATCAATATGGTGGTTGGGGAGAGTGGACAAGGGGTGCTGTTTTCAGCAAGATGGGAGGTAGAGAGGGTTGTTTCACTAGGAGGGGTTGGGATAGGAGGAAAGGGGGAATTCCAGCTCTGCGGGGGCATACTCTAGGGGGAATTTTGTGCTGCTGAGGGAGCGGGAATGACCGTTTAGGGGGCTCTTCTAAATTGGGGCCAGTGTGGTGAGAGAGCACCTTCCGGCGGAGGCAGTTTATGGACAGAGAGATATTTTTGAGGGAGGAGTAATCTCCGGAATTTTTTTGTGAGTTCTTCATGATTGGTTGAGCTTCGAATAGACACCGGAACCGCTACAGGATGAGGGGTTATTTTTCCCTCCCTTTCTCTCGTTTCGTGGAGGTCGAAGGGGTTTTCTCTGTTTGTGCCTGAGTCAAATTTCTCTGAAGGAGGGCAGGGGGGGGTTAGAACCGGAGGATGGATTTTAGTCAGGAGGATCTTAATAGAGGAATGATTGCTAGGCAAGTAGGTCAGAAGAACGAAGCTGGGACGAGAAAGGCCGGTGCTGGAGCTTTGGCTCTATGACCTGGGGGGAGCTTGAGTTTTTTGGAGTTATGCTGAGGGTGGAAGGCATAACCAGTTCGTTCGACGAAGCGGGCGCCGGGGTATTAACCCTGTAACCTGTTCAGGGGCTTGCCGTTAAGGGTAGTGTCGAGGGAGGAAGGCACTTCCTGTCCGTCAGAACTAGGTTGGTCAGAACTGCGGAAGGTTGTGGTGCCCTGTTACCCTAGCATGAAGGGGGTGCGAGATCAAGTGAGTTCTGGTAGTATGAGGAATGAAAGCCTGGTCAGACTTTCCGTCTGTTGAGGGGGGAATTTTGGATAGTAGGTTGTTTCAGTTTTTTGTGTGTCCTATCAACGGGCAACGGGATTTTTTCAACGTCGTTGTAACCGTTGAATAGCCCTCGGGGCCCCGTTGAATCCCCGTTGAATCCCCGTTGAATCCCCGTTGAATCCCCGTTGAATCCCCGTTGAATCCCCGTTGAATAGTACAATAGACCCTCCCCGTTGAATAATGTTCAAAGGGGAGGGCGCATTGGGCCTCGAACACGTCGCTGGACGCGTGTGGAGCAAAAAAAAAAATCATCCCGTTGAATCCCGTTGAATCCCCGTTGAATCACTGTTGAATCCCGTTGAATCCCCGTTGATTTGGCGTCGTTGATTCCCGTCGGGTTTTTTTTTTTTTTTTTTTTTTAACCACTAGTACCTTTGCCGCTTGGGAAAATAGCGGGCCTCGGGTAGGTGTCCGACCTTTTCAGAGGCCGAAACGAAATGACGGCCGCCGATCAGATTTATCAATGGCAGTCGTCGTCGGGCCGACCTCCGAATATTTAGGAGTTTGGGAAAACTGTCAGTTTTCCCAATTTTCCCACGCGGGAAAGGTACTAGTGGTTTAACCACAAAGTCCAGGGGTCTGGTCCGACCTACAGTTGTTGAGTTCAAAAAACTCAACGGTGTGACGCCATTTCGACATTAATAAATTAGGAAAAAAAAAAAAAAAACGCTAGAAACAACTTTTCTCCTTATTTTTGATAACGTAACTCGAAGAAATGAAACATGTCTCCGTGAAAAAGGGATACTCCCCGTGGTGAGGGGACAGGAGGTCACCATTTGTAAAATGGACAGGGACAACGTGGATGGCCAAATGCATTCATTGCCCAACGAAGGAAAGGAGTTTGATGCCAAAGAGCCAAACACAGTTGTCAGAGTTCCTCCGTTTCCGTGCACCAAGCCTAGTATTAAACCACCAGTACTGGGCCCATACATGGGCCGCGGGGCTTCCCCGTTAACGCGCCGCAGTTTTCGGGGCTCGGGGAAGGCTCGACAGTGCAATGGAGGACGACGTGCGTGGGCCCACAAAAACGGGGCAAATGGACTGTAAGATGTCTTGGTGCTGTGCTATGTGGAAACGTTCTGAGGCTGAAGGCGACGAGGGGGAAAAGAGAAGAAAAGGAACTGCAACACGGGAAGAAAAAAAAAACAGACCGTGGGATTGCCCAGCCTCTAAGAGGATCGTTCCACACCACTTGAGAACTCTTGAGTTTCAAGTGCGCCCTAATCGCGAAATCTTGATTAATTTACACTACGCCGCCTCCTCGTTCCATGCACATTAGACACCGAACTCGAAAATGTCGCACTTGAAAGAAAAACACCCTGGCTCCCCCTTGTGCGGAGACCCACCGGCGGGTTTTCGATCCAGTAGGCCGGCACCCGGCATTGAATATGTCCGCCTACGATGTGCCATTTGGGACTCTAGGGACCGGTCGGGGCGAGGAGCAGTGTGGGAGCGTGCGCGCGGTGGGTTTTCAAATTCAAAATCTGTTGGGGGAAGAGTGTGGCACTGTCCAGCCTACAGAATTGCCATGCGCGCGGAAGTGGACACCGGCTTGTACTGCACTTGGACGCGTGCGAGGGCAGTGGACACCGCCGCCAGTTTCATTTCGTCGGGAGTTGTTCGTTGCACCGTGCGTTGAGTGGACCGCCATAGCTGTTGTCCATGAAGGACATCCAATTTTCGTGCGTGGTGGCGGACGGCTCTGAGCCACGTCGTCGAGAACTGTCCCAGCGTGAGAAACGCCTGGTGGTTACAGCGTTGCTCGCCGTGTCGACACATCTGCAGCACACAGCGGCATTGCGGCGCAGTTCGGCGAGAAGAGCTGGGGTGAGCGAGGCCATCGCCACGCACGCCATGGCGGATTCGAATTCGTCTGCCAAGGTTTGGGATGCGCCGTTCCTTATGGCGAATGCCATTGTGTCGGGTGGCCTTCCTAGGGAGACGCCACAGTGGTGGATCCGGAGGAGAACCGGCGGAACATGGCAAGATCTCATAATTGATGATGACGCCACAGACGACTATTTCCATGAGAAGCTACGAATGACGAGAGGGGCGTTCTACGGCATCGTCGCCTCCTGCACTCCTTTTCTTCAACGGTCCCTCACTCATTACCGCACTCCACTGATGCCGGAGCAGCTGGTGGTGTTCGCTCTGTACAGGTGGGCGAGCGGTGAGACGTTTGACAGTGCAACGTCGACATTTGGGATGGGGCGGTCGAGTGGTATCAAGGCGATGTTTCGGTAGTACGGACATTGTGAATCTGTGCACAGATGTCCCCTTGTTTTACATGCATAGCACCAAAGGTCTTGCGGGTGACCCACTTGTACTGCAAAGCTGCCCCCCGAAAGGGAGAAACACCATTGTCCGCTGACCGGGAATCCCTTCTCCGGATTCCATTCAACAGCCACCAGCAAGGAATCATCTCTCTTAGGGACTGCCTGTGGTAAATCATTTATGTATCCCAGTACCGGTGCAAATTGGTGAAGTTCAGCCAGTATTGCTCCTTGAACAACCAATGGAGCAAACCGAAACTCTACCCAAAAATGGTTGCTCATCAGTTCTTCTCTGATCGGCTGTGATGGGATTTTGGGGTTCCCATGGGCGGACATCAACTGGCAGGCCTCAAAATCTCAGATTTCCCATCTTGAGGAGATTGTCCCTGTCCACCGGGTATGTGGGAATGATGGTCACCGTCCGAGCGTCCACAGTTTCTATGAGGAAGTGGTCCTGGACTGCCTGATAATCAGTTTTGTTTCCCGCAGTCTTGCATTGATCTATCGCAGCTTCTCGTTAATTGGAGGGTTCGATGTATCTGCAGCAAATGAAATTTGGATTGCATTTTTTGCATAAATCATGTCCCAGTTTATAACGGCCTGAGATGGGAAGACATCATGAGGATAAATGAACCCATCGTTTTCAATATACTTCATTACTGGTCGTATATGCAATTTTTGTATGAAATGGGCCTTCATCAACCCAATGGGGTCTAGGGCCAGTGGTTCTCCCACCACACTTTTCCCAGCCGCTGCAAGAGCAGTCATGCGCGCCTTCGAATCTCGTGTCATGTTTTGTCGGTTGCCTTGTTGTGTTCGTGTCACCCCTTCAGTGGTCTGTCTTGGTTGCAGGGCTGATTGGGGAACCGAAGGGCCCAGATCTCGTGACCGGGGCCGGTGCTCTCACTATGCTTGCCCAGGTTGGGGCAACCCCGTTCCCTGTAGAGGTGCCTGGGCTATGTCTCATTTGTTGCTGTGGCAACGTCTTGCCCGATTGATCTTGCGTGTTGGGGGGGGGTCGGGAGCTGTTGTCCCCTTTTTGCATCGCCCCATTGGGTCGTGGAAGCTGATGCCTGTACACTCGGCCCGGTCCCTTTTGTTGTTGCTGGGACCGTCAGGGTCCCTGTGGGGGCACCCGAAAGTTGGTCATGCTGTTGTTGTGTGTTTGGCAGGGAGGGGGGCTGCGGTCCTCCTATCTGCTCATTGATGTCTCCCATCTCTATTCTAGGTGCATCCACAGTATTGATCGGTATCAGTCTGTATGTGTATAACAGTCTGCATATCAGTTTGTATATACGAGAGTCAGTCAATACACATAGGAGTCAGATTGTACACATGTGAGCAAGTTGGTATGCGGCTTGTTCATCGTCCTCGTGCCAGAATAGTCGTGTCTATTTGGTGTCGCTCTCATCACTTTTGGGTAGGTGAGTGGGAATTTGCGGGGTGAATGTTTAACATAGAGGCAAGGAGGGCGGGGGGGATGCCTTAGAGGGCAAGGAAAGCAGGAGGGAGAGACAAAGAGGGCAAGGGGGGCAGTTCGGAGGGGGGCAGGGAGAGATGAGCTGGGGTTGCCGACCAAGGAGGATCTCACCATCCACTCGTCATGGCGTATCCGCTGCGTCACTTAAGAATGCGCTGCTTCACTTTCGTGCCTCTGTCGTGTTTAGCCCACTTGCTGCCTCTGCTGTCTCTCGCTCCTGCTTTTGTTCCACGTGTCAGGTCTCACTTCCTTCGTCGCATCCACCTCACTTGTCACTCCGTTCGTCACTAGTTCCCCTCCAGTTTTATCCTCCTCTTGTTCCACGTATCAGTGCTCACTTCGATCGTCGCATCCTCCTCACCCAACACTCCACTCGTCCCGACTTGCACTCCAGGTTCAGTTCCCACCTCACTGTTGACCTAGCAGTTGGGGGTGTGAGGCCTAGTAGAGACCAAGTATCAGGATATAGGGATGAGGCAGGTAGGGGTGGGGTACTGAAAGGCTCTAAGGCAGGTATTTCTCGATCTGAATGTTCTTCCAAAATCGAAAGGGCCTTTTGCATTTAGTACTGTATAGATGTATGTTTTCTTCTATTATCCCCTTCGAGGCTGTTTTCATTAGTGCTTGGTGCAAGTTGTTCTCATATTTTTCCCCAAAAAAACTATCATCGAAGGGCGTCCCTGCTCAGTTAACCCCCTGGTTTCGGGGCAATCAATGCTGGCAGGGGGAGGTCTTCTTAAATTGTTTTCTCAATTTTTCTCAAAAAAAGACCCTTGCGAATGCCTGAGGATTCTGGGTGCTCCTTGCAACTCATTTTAGGCATCTTTGATGCTGTTATATTCACGGACCTGCGGTTTTTCGATGCCAGAATGAAGCTGGCCGGTGCTGGGGGTTGCCATGTAACCTGTTGACAGCAGGATGTGAGGCCTGGTAGAGAGATCTGGGGATGCCTTGGGCCGGGCATTCCAATGGAAAACCAACGGTCAAGTTGCTGTCGGGAAGACGCTGGCCGGAGCTGGGCTGAGTCGTGTTGGCCTGTAACCTAGCAGGGTGGGGGCATGAGGCCTGGGAGAGCTCGGCAGGGAATTAGACAGTTTTAGAGAATTTTAGAGTGTTTTGTCGGGGAGTCCAGGGGTTCTGAGCATTCGAAGGACTTTTGTGGTAATTGCTGCTTGAGTAGCCTAGCAATAGGTCAACAGTTATCCACGTTTTTCCTAAATCTTCCTGAACTTTTTTCATAGTTTTCAGATTGTTCTTAGCCGAAGCCAGGTAATGGCCCTGGTATTTCAAATCATTTGTATATTCTACATGGGGCGTTGGGCCCGGTTCCCAGCACGTGTTGCTCCCCACGAATAGATTGGAGCATTTGTCCCAAAAAAAAAAAAAAAAAAAAAAAAAAAAGGGGTGGGCAAAAAGAGGACAGGAGGCAGTGGTAGTTTAAAGCTGTCTTCTCCTCATTGGGGGGCAGCTGTATATATATGTTTTGCGTTCATTGCATAAATAGCAAGTTTTTGAAGTATCCCTGCAAAATACCGTCGGGGTCCAAGTTTCTTTGCTAAAATACCTATTTTGTTGCACTGTTGCAGCTTTAGTGTTCCCAGTAGTTTCACAGCAAAAATATGTGCCAAGAAAGTTCGAACAAGAGCCATTTTTGGTTGCAGCCTTAGTGGTCCCGACAGTTTCACAGCAAAAATATGTGCCATAAAACCTCGAAAAAGAGCCATTTTTTCGCTACCGCTGGACCCCGACGACATTTCTGCTGCCAAACTCTGAAAACAGGCTATTTCTGCAATTGTCCCATATATTTTTCTCTCAAAGTTTACCTGGTGTCTGCTATGTCATTTCACCTTCCACTACCTACCTACCACTGCTCCTAAGGCTATACAGAGGACACCTGGGGTCGGGTTCCACTAGCCCCGTTCTCCATTGGCGGCCACGTGATCCTGATTTCGATCACGTGTGGCATGTGGCAAGCTGTGACACTCACAGTCTGTTGATCGGAAAGAAGATCCAGGGCCGCGCAAGATCTGAAATCATAGAGATTTGAGGAGGCTGTTTTGTCCAATCTGCGTGGCAGAAAATCTCGCCATTTCCATTTTTTTAATTCAAAGTTCACTGGAGCTCCGTTGCATTTTCATCAATTTCAAAGGTGGGGAGTGATTATGCAATATGTTTCCTTGCTGCACTCCGCCTCCACGGAATCGACAAAACAGAAAACTGAACTTCAGATGACATAGCCGCCCATTGGCTGACTGGAGAAGCCATCCTCAACAAGAGGAGAAGATTTTGCTGGCTCCCAGCCTATTAGCTGACAGGAGAACCCAGACAAGGATTTTACTTTCTTTCATTCTTAGAAAACGAGGTTGTAAAACCCGGGAAATTTGGGAAAACCATTTGCCAAAACAGCGCCACACAGTGCACACACTTTGTTCAAAGGTGCTTGCTAATGGACCCGACCCCTGGGGCGTGGTCCCACTAGCAAAGAGGATCGGATCGAATGCCTGAATCTGGACGAGTTTATGGAGATGTGCAGGAAATAGAGATTGAACTGCTTTTCTGCATCTCTGCTTGAAACATCTATCCTATCCTTGTTGCTAGTGGGACCATGCCCCTGCAAGCATTGCCAAAAGGAGAAAAGTAACAAGTTACTAACAGCACACAGAATTTGCAGGACTGCTCAATTTAGCAACGGGACTGCCACCCCCCAGAATAGAGGGGGGATGTGTTGTTGTGGGAAAAGAAAACCGAAAGCAAAAAAAAAAGAAAAGCATTAAGAGTGTCAAAAAACATATGGTTCATGTTACATTCAACAGGTTAGCCTTTAGCCCAAGCTTAGCCTTTTTCCTGTGGTTTCCCTGAGGAATTGGTTTTCTAAGAGTTCTTGTTTGTCACAGTCACTGTGGTGGGGCTCTGCCTGGGGTGGAGGGTTGGAGGCCAACACCCTCTGAATTGGGGACTGGATTTCTCGGATCATTTGTATTCTTCCCTTGGCCGTTGGGGACTGGGCCCGCAATAAATACTTGATTTTCTGTAAGGGGGTGTAAAAAAACTGTCAGTGCTGGTCCTGCCATTTATGAAGTTGTCGAAGGCCGTTGTACAGTTATATCCGTGGCCTAGTGGAGCCCCGCACGTGGATTGACCCAAAGAAACTACTACGACAACTGGATGAAAATCAGAATTTTCTGTATCATAATGGTCATCGAGAATGTAGCATCGAATTTTGAATAAGGCCGCATTTTGTTTTGGGATCGTAATCTTTGGTAAGTTCACAAATAACCAGCAGTTGCCTTCCACATCTTATCCTCATACGAGATTTTTATCCTTGTCCTCTCTCTCTCTCTCTCTCTCTCTCTCTCTCTCTCTCTCTCTCTCTCTGTGTGTGTGTGAGTCTGTGTGGGGGGGGGGGGGGGGGAGGACATGACAACTCTAAAATTTATCTGTTTTTGCATTTTTCTCGCCTTTTCTTGGTTTTCAAAACAGGTGCGGCCACGTGCTCAGCGCTGAACTCAATTTTCGAGTTTTGGTCGGCAACCGAGACTCGGAGTAAGGGGGTTGTTAGACACTCCTTACAAGTT